AAAAAAAAAAAAAAAAAAAAAAAAAAGTCATTAAAAAAATCTGAAAAAAGAGATATGTTATGGAGAAAAATAAATTAAACAAGATTTGCCAGAGCATTACATCCGAAATCCTTACCAAATTTGACGTAAAAATAAAATACGGAAAACAAATACTAATAATAAAAATAAATAAAAATAAAAAGATAATTAAATTTAGTGAGTGAGCGAGCATGTTTTCGACACCGCCATCTTTGGCGATTTTTCATTTTTTTTTTGGCATAGCTTAATGCCCTGAAAATTTACAGATGTGTACTTCACATAATACAAAACCCACTGAAAAAGTTTCAAAAAATAATATAAGTTTTTAGACCCCGAACTAAAGTGAAAACAAAAAGTAAAAAGTGAAAAAATATGTGGGCGAGCACGTTTTGACACCGCTATCTTTGGGGATTTTTAACTCTTATTTGGCTAAGCCAAATGACTTGAAATTTTACAGGCATATACCTCACGTCATAGAGAACTCACAAAAAAATTCAGAAAAAACTAATTATTTTTAGGCCCCGAAATAATTTTTGGCGGGGGCTGAACCTTGTCAGGTTCGGACCCCGTAGGGAACCCCGAACGCCCGTACGTACGGAGGTCTGACCGGGGACCTCCGTACGTACAGGCTGGTGACCCTGTATATATATATATATATGGTTACGATCCGGACGTCCGGACCGGAATCCAGACCGTCTCGATCCAAACCGGACTCCAGACGTCCGGTCCAGAAGCTCCGGTACGTACGAAATTCAGAAAAAAAAAAAAAAAAAAGTGCCCAGGGTTGTCCATAGCACTCGTTCGAGGCCCCCAAAAATGGTTTGTAGGTTTTGGGGGGCCTTGTCGGGTTTTTCAGGTGCACCGGACACGGCCGAATCGGGGTTGTTTTTTTTTTTTTTTTGTCATCTGCTTTATTTTGTGTTGAATGGCCTGAGTTTTGGCGGGCCCGGTTGTTGGGTGCGGGAGGCGGCGGCGATGGATTTTGAAACTACCACGGAGCTGACCACCAAAAGCCCACCAAAACGTCGACAGTCGTCGCCCGTTGTCGAAGCTTAGAGTTCGCGGCGCACGGCTTGGAATTCGACGACGGCGACTCACTTCTGTCGGGGAGGAAAGTCGTCGTCGCTATGTGTGTGTGTGTGTGGGGGGGGGGGGGGGGGGGGGGGGGAGAGAGAGAGAGAGAGAGAGAGAGAGAGAGAGAGAGAGAGAGCAGCGACTGGGGGGAGGACGACAAACGGGAGAGGGAGACGGACCGAAGAGGAGGTCGAGGTGGAGGACGCACACCAAGGCAGCATCGCGGACAAGCTGTGACAGTTCGACTTCGTCAGCCTTCGACGTCCAAAACCTTTCCTCTTTCTCTCTCTCTCTCTCTCTCTCTCTCTCTCTCTCTCTCTCTCTCTCTCTCGTGTGCGCCCAAGCTTGGACACTTCGACTGCGTCAGCCTTCGACGTCAAAAATCTCTCTCTCTCTCTCTCTCTCTCTCTCTCTCTCGTTTTTTCTTCTCGCCCAAGTGTGTCGTTCAGTGATTGATTCTTCTTCCCAAACTATCTTGTTGATTGATTGATCGATGGATCTTTCGATGGAATGATGGAACAAATTGATTGATTGATTGATTGATCGACCGCTTGATCGGTCCGTTGGCTGTTCGTGTCGTTGTCCATGATTGATTGATTGATTGATTGATTGATTGATTGATTGACTGATTGATTGATTGACTGATTGATTGATTGATTGATTGATTGATTGATCGATTGATCGACCGCTTGATCACTATGTTGGCTGTTCGTGTCGCTTGATCGGTCCGTTGGCTGTTCGTGTCGTTGTACACGAACAGCCAACGGACCGATCAAGCGCTCGGTCAATCAATCAATCAATATCAATCATGGGTGGTGGGAAATGCTTATGTGGCAGTGTGGCACTGGTACTTTGAAACTCCGAATTGTTTTCGTCTATTCGTCCAAAATCTCTCTCTCTCTCTCTCTCTC